GGTTTCACTTTGTACTTAGGTTTTACTTTGGATCCTCCTGATTTTGTTGCTTTCGTCTCTCATGACTCTGAGTTTCTCTGTATCTCTTTTCGGTTCTCCTCAGCACCTCATTTCTATGGCAGTAGCCTTGCTACCCACCGTGTACTCTGATAGTGAGGATGAGTCATCAGAGGCCAGCTCTGTGCACAGCTTGTTCACTGAGGAGTCCATCACTGGGCAGTACAGAGTTCTGCAGCCCTTGGGGCGGGGTTTCACTATTAAAGTGAGGCAATCCTTCCATCGCCTCACAAGCGCCCCTGTTGCTATCAAAGCCCTTGTGAAACGTGAGACTCTGTGGGAGCCAAGGATGTTGGAAGTTGAAATCATGAAGATGCTCAGTCATCCCAATATTGTTTCCCTGCTACAAGTAATAGAAACGAAAGAGAATGTTTATCTAATTATGGAACTGGCCCAGGGAGAAGAGCTACTTAATCGAGTCCGCAAGGCTGGATATCTGAAGGAAGTTGAAGCTAGAGGCATATTCATTCAGCTGCTGAGTGCCATACACTACTGCCATGGTAAAGGTGTTGTGCACAGAGATTTAAAGCCTGACAACATCATTGTGGATGACCATGGACATGTAAAAATTATTGACTTTGGATTAGGTGCCAGATTCATGCCTGGGCAAAAACTAATAAGGCTGTGTGGTGCCTTACAGTTCATCCCCCCGGAAATTTTCTTAGGCTACCCTTACGACGGGCCAAAAGTAGACATATGGGCCTTGGGGGTTATTTTGTACTATATGGTGTCTGGTGTTGTTCCATTTCCAGGGAATACACTGAGTGAACAGAAGCAAAAAGTCTTGCAAGGGAGGTATGAAACACCTTATCATCTCTCTAAAAATTTAAGGAACATAATTAGTTGTTTGTTGACAGTAAATGCAAACCAGAGGCCAACTGCAAAAGACCTCCTAAGTCATCCATGGCTTCAGGAACAGGGAAAGACTTTTGCATTTCATTCCAATGGAGACATCAGCTTCCCAGACCCTGACATCATGCTGGCCATGCAAGATATTGGGTTTCATTCGCAGGACATTAGGGAATCATTAAAACACAAAAAGTTTGATGAAACTATGGCGACTTACCACCTACTGAGAATGCAGGCATGTCAGGATGATGGCAATTATGTCCAAACAGAGTTAATGAATCCAGGAGTGACACCTTTCCCTTCAGCAGAAGACCCTGACACTTTCCCTCCGCCTCCCAGGAGAAGGGCCACTGAACCTTCCCTTAAGACATTAGTCTCATCTAATGACATACATCCTCTCAGACAAAGAGGGGGGACAAATGTTCCTGTTTCATCCAAAAACACACCCACTATGGACAGACGTTACAAACGTTCTATGACTGCCCCTTGTATTTACTTACGAAGAAACACTTCAATGAGCAGAGAAGATACCAGCTTTTCCACTAGCTCCCAGGCAGGGAAGGCCTTAAGTGACTCACAACAAAGTGGGACTTCAACTTCAAGCTCCTTGGAGCCTAGGGGCTGGGCAAAATGGAAAAAGAGAATAGGAGCATGCATGAGGACATTGTGCTGCTGTGTGTCACCTCACAACAAGCATCCGAGGAAAGTGTGCCCCCAAAAATGAGAGGACACCATAATGACAAGAAGTACAAGGTATGGTTCAGGAATATTTTTGTATTCACTTTATCTATGGTTTTACTAATGTCTTGCATATAGACAGTTTATGGTTCTTCAAGTAGAGTGAGTTATAAGTAGTTATATCTAGATAGTGTGGGATGTGGGTGCTCATAAAATTAAACACATGTACAATACTTTCTTACTCTAAGAGTGTAGAACAAGAACACAATCAAATCAAATCAAATCAAATCAAATCAAATCACATCAAAACCACAATGCACCAGTGTAAATCTCTTCTTGTGGCTCAGCTCAGTGTCCCAAGCACAGAACTCAGGATCTTCTGGGCTGAGAAGGGTCTTGGGCCACTCTTCCTCTGGGTTTCTTTGGTCTACAGCCCACCCA